GAAAAAAAGTGAGCTTTTCAGCGTTACGGCCTTTGCAGCCTCCCCGTGGTCACGTGATCCAAAAATCCAGGCTTTTGGCGACTGATTCATACTTATGACGGTTGCAGTGTCCCAGGGGTCCCCCTTTGTGACTTTACGACAAGCGAAGTTGATGGGGAAGCCAGATTGACTTAACAACGGCGTTACTGATTTAACAGCTGCAATGATTCGCTTAACAAATGTAGCCAGAAAAAGCGTAAAATGGGGCAAACCTCACTTAACAAATTTCTTGCTTAGCGACACAAATGTCGGGATCAATTGTGGTCGTAGATCGAGGACTACCTGTACTTACTTGCCCAGGAACTATTTTTTTTTCTCTTCTTTGTATGGCTCCAATTCCTTTATCAAGAACCTCCATCGGTCGCAGTCAGATTCTGCCCAGCGTCAAGTAATCAGCAAAGGGTTCCTTTCTTCTTCCAGGAGTATAAAGGTAGTCCTCGACTTACAACAGCTCACTTAGTGACCGTCCAGAGTCACAACATCACTGAAAAAAAGTTACTCAGGACCGTTTTTCACACTTACGACCGTTGCCGCGTCCCCATGGCCACCTGATCAGAATTCAGATGCTTGGCCACCGGTTCATACTTACGACCGTTGCTGCATGTCCCAAGGTCGTGTGATTCCCCTTTTGCGACCTTCCAAGAGGCAAAGTCAATGGGGGAGCCAGTTTCGCTTAACAACCGCACTGCTAACTTATCAATTGCGATGTTTCACTTAACAACTGCGGCAAGAAAAGACGGGGGCAAAATTCACTTTAAAATGTCACACTGAATAGAAACTTTGGGCTCAACTGGGGTTGTAAGTTGAGGACTACCTGCACTTTACTGACAATAAAGCAGTTAAGACAGTGTTTCTCAACCTTGGCAACTTGAAGATGTCCGGACTTTAACTCCCAGAATTCCCCAGCCAGCAAATGCTGGCTGGTGAATTCTGGGAGTTGAAGTCCGGACATCTTCAATTTGCCAAGGTTGAGAAACACTGAGTTAAGAGATTAGAGCAGACAGGATCAGTCGGCTAGGCACAAAAACGCTGCAGTTAACTTTCCTTTTCACCTCCTCCCCCCGCCCCCTTCTGTAATCCATCACTATCCAATTGAAAATCCTCAATCGTTGTTTTGGAAACGGACCCAGTGTGCNGAAAAAAAGTGAGCTTTTCAGCGTTACGGCCTTTGCAGCCTCCCCGTGGTCACGTGATCCAAAAATCCAGGCTTTTGGCGACTGATTCATACTTACGACGGTTGCAGTGTCCCGGGGTCCCCCTTTGTGACTTTACGACAAGCGAAGTTGATGGGGAAGCCAGATTGACTTACTGATTTAACAGCTGCAATGATTCGCTTCACAAATGTGGCCAGAAAAGGCGTAAAATGGGGCAAAGCTCACTTAACAAATTTCTCGCTTAGCAACACAAAATGTCAGGATCAATTGTGGTCGTAGGTCGAGGACTACCTGTACTTACTTGCCCAGGAACTATTTTTCTTTCTCTTCTTTGTATAACGTGGCTCCAATTCCTCCGTCAGTCACAGTCAGATTCTGCCTAGCGTCAAGTAATCAGCAAAGGTTTCCTTTCTTTTCCCAGGAGTATACAGGTAGTCCTTGACTTACAACAGCTCACTTAGTGACCGTCCGGAGTCACAACCTCACTGAAAAAAAGTTACTCAAGACCGTTTTTCACACTTACGACCGTTGCCGCGTCCCCATGCCACCGGATCAGAATTCAGATGCTTGGCCACTGGTTCATACTTACGACCGTTGCTGCATGTCCCAAGGTCATGTGATTCCCCTTTTGCGACCTTCCAAGAGGCAAAGTCAATGGGGGAGCCAGTTTTGCTTAACAACCGCACTGCTCACTTATCAGTTGCGATGTTTCACTTAACAACTGCGGCAAGAAAAGACTGGGGCAAAATTCACATTAAAATGTCTCACAGAATAGAAACTTTGGGCTCAACTGGGGTTGTACGTTGAGGACTACCTGCACTTTACTGACAATAAAGCAGTTAAGACAGTGTTTCTCAACCTTGGCAACTCGAAGATGTCCGGACTTTAACTCCCAGAATTCCCCAGCCAGCGAATGCTGGCTGAGGAATTCTGGAAGTTGAAGTCCGGACATCTTCAATTTGCCAAGGTTGAAAAACACTGAGTTAAGAGATTAGAGCAGACAGGATCAGTCGGCTAGGCACAAAAACGCTGCAGTTAACTTTCCTTTTCCCCTCCTTCCCCCCCCCCCTTCTGTAATCCATCACTATCCAATTGAAAATCCTCAATCGTTGTTTTGGAAACGGACCCAGTGTGCAAGCCTTTCCCATCGCCACATTCCTTTTGTTGGCCTTCTGCTTGTGCTCCTCATCTCAGGGCCGGCTCTGCTTCAATCCCAATCCCTCCCAAAAACACGCACATTCCAATCTCTTCCCTCCCACCTCCCACCGTTGCTATGCCAAGCTGGCAAAAGGCAAAGCGAAGCAGCAGCAAAACCAGAATGGCAGCCATAACAGTCACTTGCTGTTCCATATTTTTGTACGAGTTATTTGAAGGGCAGTTTACGGCACGAAGCCGTCTGCCTGACTGGAGAGAGAGAGAGAGACTTCTTTCCTGATGTTCTGACCGAGGCTTCCCGAGAGCATGAAGCAAACTCCTTGTTGTCCCGACAAAAACCCCTTTTATTAATTTCCTGTGAATTCTGCTCTTTCACATCCAGCAAAGTCTTTCGAGGGAGGATTTATGGTCACAGACCTCATCTGGCTTGGAGAGTTGCCAGGCCAATATCTGCAGAACTTGGTCTCAGAGAGTCTAAGAGAACTAATTGTCTCCTGCAAACTCCCCTCCCCTTTCACTCCTCTTTTATTTCCTCTGGGAGGGGCCATTCATTGTCCCCCTGTAGTCTTACTCCCAAGTTGACCCTTGTTCCTTAGCTGTTCCCTTCCTCTGGCAACTCTGTGCATGCACACACTGAGAACAGGCTCCAGCTGTTCGTCTGCCTCACTGATGTCTGACTCTGAAGGCAGCTGATAACTGTCAGACAGCCCTGGCCCCCTCTCTGCCTCCGACACAGAGGCCTCCTCAGAGCCTTCCCCAGGACTGGCCCAGGTTCCTCCCCAACCTCCTCACTCTCCGAATCGGCTGCCAGCTCCGCTGGTGGGCCACAACAGCTGGTTCTGCTTTCTGGAAGACCTCCTTTCCCCATTCATTCATTCATGTCCTCTTTCTTCCCCCACCAGGAGGTGCTGTCACACTACTCCCATCGTGCTCTGGATGATGATATACGGAACCAGATGGCAACGGATTGGGTCAACCGGGAGCAGAACATCCCAGGGGCCCTTTCCAGGGAGCTGGCTTCGACCGAGCGTGAACTGGACGAAGCTCGGCTAGCCGGAAAGGAGCTGAGATTTCACAAGGAGAAGAAAGACATCCTGATGTTGGCTGCTGGCCAGCTGGGGAACATGCATTCTTCCAACTGCTAGGAGGGCCCATGTAGCTCTTTTCTCTCCCCTCTTAACTACTCTCTCTTCCCACAGTAGTTTGCTAAAGAAGTCAGAAGGAATGTTACCAGTGCGAAGGAAGCCTCATGTTCAACCCGATTTTTCCTAATTTTAATTGTGCAAGGTGATGTTTGCATTCGAGAGTGCAGGATTTTAGTGCAGGATTTGAAAATAATCTCAATTGCCTTAATTTTTAGTTCTAAGAAGTGAAAGGTGTCCTCCCATTAGAGAACGAAACCTGAATTAACCATTTGGGGGGAAAACAAACAAACGTCGAGTTTGTTCAGAACTCGCCTTCGATTCCATTCACCTGAACTGTCTCCAGTTCATCAAACAGCCTCCAATGCCTTGCTTTCCAAGAACAGAGAATCAAATTGCACTCTTTAAAAAAAAGGTTGTTGAAAATTCTGTATAGATTTTATACTTGGTTATCTTTTCACTCTGCAGAAGAACTTTTTGTAGAACATACTAATAATGTAACTTTTTTGAGGGGGGGGGGAGAAATAGATCTTTGCTCAAATCTTGATTCTATCCAGGTATTTGTACAGTTGTCAGTATTAAGTAGAAAAGTAACACTGCCACAGAAGGATGCCAGTGTTTGTTATTAGGGTATAATGCATTGATATATGCTACACAGGGACGCAGTGGCTCAAGGGCTAAGACGAGCTTGTCGATCAGAAAGGTCAGCAGTTGGGTGATTCGAATCCCTAGAGCTGCATAACGGAGTGAGCTCCCGTGACTTGTCCCAGCTTCTGCCAACCTAGCAGCTCGAAAGCAGGTAAAAAATGCAAGTAGAAAAATAGGGACCACCTTTGGTGGGAAGGGAACAGTGTTCCGTGCGCCTTCGGCATTTAGTCGTGCTGGTCACATGACCACGGAGATGTCTTCGGACAGCGCTGGCTCTTTGGCTTTGAAACGGAGATGAGCACTGCCCCCTAGAGTCGGGAACAACTAGCATATATGTGCGAGGGGAATCTTTACCTTTTATATGCTACTCAGATGTGTACCTACAGTTAAAGTAGTTTGATAGACACACCATCTTTGCTTATCACTTATAAGTAGAGCACTTAAAACATCCTCTTTCAATTACTGTCCAACCACCAGTATTCTATTTTAACTGGACTGATTGTTCCTTTTTTTCAATGCCATTAACTTTGAACAGTCCCTACACCAGTGTTGTAAATCAATGACTACCTTTATGGACCGTGGCTTAATTTTATGTTGTTGTTGTGTTCGCGGTTTTACTTTCAAAGTCTTAGGACACATTAGGGCAGGGGTCTCCAACCTTGGCCACTTTAAAGGCTTGTGGACTTCAACTCCCAGAGTTCCTCATCCAGGAAGGTTGGAGACCCCTGCATTAGTCTCCTGCATGCCAGGTTAGTTTGATTCTTAGCTGTTTATAAACAAGCTTCTAAGCCTCAATCCGGTACAGAAACCTGGCATAAGAGATGAAAAACTTGGAAGGTAAACAGAGCAATTTGCAAAATGGTGGTCTGTCCCGGTCTATGATTATCGTAAGATTTGATTGATTGGTGGAAATAATTAGCCGGTGATCAGCGGGCTTAAGAAAAAGTGGTTTTGTTTTGTATTTGGTCTTCATGCCATCAGTATCTTGCCATTTGTATACATGAAATAATAAAACAATATTCTCTTTTTTTATATATATATATATTTATATATTTTATACATAGCTATGGTTTACACAGTATTAATGTTGAAAGCATTTATAAAGCTAGCTTGTAACTAAATCCTTTGAATACATGAATGTCTCTTGCATTGTTCATACTAGCCTGGCTAACCGCTAGGTTACTATACTTGGGTTATTTCTCTTGCCTGAATCGGTCCAGAGACTGAGTCTGAATAAGTGTCGGTTTTCACACGACCCAAATGTGAATCCTGTACTTGCTTCTGCTGCTGACCAGCCAGCTTTCCTTCTCTGTTTTCTGTAACTATTGGTAATCTCCAGATTATCCATGCAGTATTGCCTACAATATACTCCCCTCGGCGCTTTGCCCTTTTTCACGATTTGTGCGTTTTAGGATTTTGTTTGTAATGCGTAGTTTTTCTGTAATAAACAGGATTTGGGAAAAGTTCTTCCTCTTGTTCATTCCATTGCTTAGAAGTGAAGCCATCACTCGTCTATATCTATAAAAGCCAAGTACCACCCACTCATCACGGAATCTCCAGAACCATAAAGCCTACAAACTGGAAATTTGGCCTGTATGTGTCCTCTTGGCTTCTAGGTGCTCGCTAAGAAAGGATTTTTCAAAATGATCCTCAGATCATTAGTATTTCTTACATTATTATTAACACGCTCTGATGCTGAGGAGTTAGACGTTCTACTCCCCCTCCCCACCTGAAAAGAACTCTGTTCCAACTGCCAGTTGTTTCATATTTCGTTACCTCAGTTCAAACTGGCAGACGTTCCACTCCTTCACTCAGGAGCAGTCTGGGACTCCTTATAGTACTAAACGTCGGTACCTCACCAAAATGTCTACACCTTCCACCTATGGAACGGCTTCCGAACTCAAGGCGGAAGGAGCGATATTCCCTTATCTGTTTCAATCACTGAGCCAACGGATTGAACCGGAGTGAACCAGATTTATCCTGCATTGCCCAGTCACATATTTTTGTCGCGAAGCACGGCTGTCCAGCTAGTCATTTTATATTTTCTATATGTGTGGTGGTCTTGGGGAAAAATCCAGAAGCATGGCGTCTTGCCCTTGTTACTCAAGGGTTACTCCAACCCTCCAGGATGCCTGCAGCTTCTTCCTCTATTGCTGCTGCTCAATGGTAGGTTACGACACAACTGAGCCCAAACTCTTTGTTGCCCTAAGTGAAACTTATTTATTAAGTGAGTTTTTGCCCCATTTTACGACTTGGTGCCACCGTTGTTCAGTGAATCACTGCAGATGTTAAGCCAGTAACCCGGTTGTTAAGCGAATCACCACAGATAAGTTTGGTAACACAGTTGTTAAGCGAATCTGGCTTCCTCATTGACTTTCCTTCTCGGAAGGTCGCAAAAAGTGGATAGCAATAGCAATAGCAATAGCAGTAGACTTATATACCGCTTCATAGGCCTTTCAGGCCTCTCTAAGCGGTTTACAGAGAGTCAGCATATTGCCCCCAACAATCTGGGTCCTCATGTGGGGTTTTCATGAGCTGTAAGCCATAATCATCACAATT